TAGCATTTCTTATTATTTTCATTTGAGTTGTATATGCTCAATCTATCTCTAGTTAAGAAGTGGTGAAAATGGTGAAGTTCTATTATATTCCACATGTATCCGGGTATGTGTGTATGTGTGTATAGGACAGCATAGTGGTGGGGTTTTCATTTTCATTTTATTTTGCCAGCATATATCCTCATTATTGTTATAAAGAGTGTTCAAATCAGAGTATGACCTTTCCTTCTATAAAGACATCTACATTTATCCTCTAAGGTGTTTTCCCTTCCATTATATATATATATATATATATATATATATTTTTTTTTTTTTTTTTTTTTTTTTTTTTTTTGAGAGACGAGGAGGGGGGGCAGAGAGAGAGAGAGAATCCCAAGCGGACTCTGCACTGTCAGCACAGAGCCCGATGCGGGGCTTGAACCCAGGAACCGTGAGATCATGACCTGAGCTGAAACCAAGAGTTGGATGCTTAATGGACCAAGCAACACAGGCGCCCCATGTTATATTTTAATTTTTTCCCTTTTTTTGTAAAAACTTCGTCAAGATATAATTTTCATACCACACAGCTCAGCATGTAAAGTGTATAATTCAGTGGTTTTGGTACAGGGTTGTGCACCTGTCAGCACGGTCTATTTAGAACACTTTTATCACCCCAAAAAGAAATGCCGTGTTCTTTAGCTGTCACCCCTGAATGCTCCTGTCCCTCTCATGTAAAGCTGAAAGCTACGTTCGCCCTCCAAAGCGGCTAATCGATTATATTCCCACGAATGGTCCTTTGGGTGCCATTTTTCTCATACCCATCCTGTGTTATCAAAATATTTCACCTTTCTCAAGCCTCATAGATGAAAAATTGCATTTTACTTTGGTGTGCACGTATTTAATCCTGCATGGTGCTGGCCATCTATTTGTATATTTTTTTTTTTGGTCATTTGGATCACCTACGTGTGCCCTGCTCTGTAGACCTACTTTAAATACAAGCAGCGTAGGGGTGCCTGGGTGGCTCAGTTGGTTAAACGTCCGACTTCAACTCAGGTCACGATCTCATGGTCCGTGGGTTCGAGCCCCGCGTCGGGCTCTGGGCTGATGGCTCAGAGCCTGGAGCCTGCTTCCGATTCTGTGTCTGCCTCTCTCTCTGCCCCTCCCCCGTTCATGCTCTGTCTCTCTCTGTCTCAAAAATAAATAAACGTTAAAATAAATAAATAAATACAAGCAGCATATGGTCATTGCCTCATTTGACCTCATCCACGGGTGCGTGGTACGTGGGGCAAAGACCACCATGAAGTCAGTTCATCCAAATTACAGAAACAAGAGAAGCCTCCAGAGAGGCCTCGTGCACCCGGACACCCACCCTGGGGGCTCATTACTGGGGGGCTCCCCGGGCGTTAGGTAAAATTATTGCCCCTCTGCTTGCCTCAGTTTGACTTTGTCTCAATCTACCAGCTACTAACTCTTATTAAATGCACATTCCATGGTCTTCATCCTGTGCTATTAAAATCCAGTCACCCCAGGGTAAACCTGTCGTTATATACGCACCTCTTACCTAGCCCGTGGATCCTGATAGCTTTTTTCACCAGCTACAGTCCCCGGTGAGACCCCTAACAACTTTTCCCTGGCTGGAGGGTCTTTGGGAAAAGCTGGAGCTTTGCTAAAGCCAGGGAGCCAGACCTTGTGGGCGCAGGCATTGTCCCACTGCTGCTGAGCCCCTGTGGCTGTTAGTTACTGTCACATTCAGGGACCGTCGCCTCCAGTGAACCCTCGACCTTTTTCCACCACAACCTCACTGCCAGGCATCAGAAAGCCTCACACTGATCTACTATTCATTCTCGTATTTATCAGCAAGCAAAGGCCGTCTTCGTCCCCAGTGGTCAGCCCAGTGCACCCCCAGCAATCTGTCCCTTAGGTAAACCTCGCCTAAAAGATCTACTCACAGCAGATGTGACAACAATACTCAGGGGCATCGCTAGCATATTTGACACTCTAGATGGGCCATTTGGAGTACCACCTCCTGTAGAATCACTTGCAATGTAACCTTGCAATAATCAGTAATAAGCATTCTTTTCCTGACTCACTACGTAAACACTTCAAAAAGAAATTTCGTCTTAAAGATGATCCACATGATTAATATTCGCGAAGAACACAGTGCCACTTCTGTGCTATTTCTGCCAAACACGCGTGACCCAAATCTAGTAGTGAGGAATCCTCAGACAAACCAGATGGAGAGACATTCTACAAAAGAAGTGGCCTTTCGTCTTTAAAAGTGTCAAGGTCCTGAAAGGCCAGAACAGACCAAGGAGTTCCCCAGACGGAAGGAGAGTTAGGAGACCATACAGCTAAATGTAACTCGTGTTTTACACCCAGATCCTTTTTTCTGGAAAGGGTTATTAGTGGGACAGTTGGTGAAATTTAAATGGGTCTGAGCATTGGATAACACTATCAGATCTGTGTTGATGTCCCGATTTTAATGATTCTATTGTGGTTATGGAGGAGAATATCCTGTTTGTAGGGAATATACATTAAGGAATTCAGGGTTGGTGACAGCAGGTCAGTGTCTTACTTTCAAATGGTTCAGCAGGAAGGGGCGCCTGGGTGGCTCAGTCGGTTGAGCGTCCGACTTCGGCTCAGGTCATGATCTCAGGGTTTGTGGGTTCAAGCCCCGCCTCAGGCTCTGTGCTGGCAGCTCGGAACCTGGAGCCAGCTTCGGATTCTGTGTCTCCCTCTCTGTCTCTGCCCCTCCCCCACTCATTCTCTCTCTCTCTCTCTCTCTCTCTCTCTCTCTCTCACTCACTCAAAAATAAATAAAACATTTTTTAAAACTTTAAAATAAACTTCAAATGGTTCAGCAGTAAAAAGTCATTTATATAATAATGTATAATAACTTGTACTGTACAGCCAAGTTTTGTCTGTAATTTTTTTTTAAATACGAAAACTATTTTTAAAAACCTCAACAGTGAGGCACCTGGGTGGCTCAGTCGGTTAAGCGTCCGACCTCGGCCCAGGTCATGATCTCACGGTTCGGGAGTTTGAGCCCCACATCGGGCTCTGTGCTGACAGCTCAGAGCCTGGAGCCTGCTTCAGATTCTGTGTCTCCCTCCCTCTCTCTCTGACTCTCCCCCACTCACACTCTGTCTCTCTCTCTCTCTCTCTCTCTCTCTCTCAAAAATAAATAAACGTTCAAAACAAAATGAAAAAGAAAAAAAACCTCCACCGTAATTGTAGCAATTGTTTAGAACTTAGGCCAACAAAAGACTTTTTTGAGGACGATTATTTTTCACAGGCATTCTTCAGAATTGCTGGTATAAGGTAACAAAAAGGCTTTCAAAGTTGATTCGGTTATTGCTTTTAAATTCTCTAAGACAGCTTACACGATGGCACCCACCGACCTACCCTTGGTATAACCCTGATCGCGTTGGTAAATCGCACAGACAGCCTCTCCAGATTGCGCACTGGAACCCTCCATCAGATGGTGGGATGTGGGAAAACACTAGAACAGGAAGGCCCTGGGGACGGTGTTAGGCTGCAGGGCTGGCCAGATTCTTACACGTGGTTTACACAGGACAATGTGCCTATGTGACCTCCAGCCAGCTGCCACTCATTTTCCCAAGGAAAACACGTTTTGAAACATCTTCACGCTAGGAGCACCTGGGTGGCTCCTTTGGTTAAGCATCTGACTCTCGGTTCCAGTTCGGGTCATGATCTCGTGGTCTTGTGAGTTCAAGCCCTGCGTCCGGCTCTGCTTGGGATCCTCTCTCTCTGCCCCTCCCCAACTTGTGCTCACTCTCTGTTTCAAAAAAATAAAACATCTCCGTGCTAATTAAATAATTTTTTAAGAGCCAAATGCGACAAAGAAGCCCTTGAATGAGCTGCCTTGTCGGGGGTGGGGAGGGACTTCTGATTTGGGCGTTTTCAAATGCTGTGTGACCAACCTTGGGTGTATATTCCTGATCCTAACCCACCCTCCCAGTTAACCAGCACACATACCCACTCACTCAGTTACAAAGTAAATGGCAGTGTTTCCCCAGCTTGCAGCGTGGCGCGGAGGGCACGGTCGCACCCAGTCTTTGTGGAAGGCACATGGGGTGCACGTGCACCCTGGCATCTGTGTGCACGAGCTGGGTGTTAGCGACTCCACTTGAACTGACCACGGTGGGTTGTCCAGGTGTTTTCTCCTTCTTGGAAGCCGTTCGTAGTCGAGGCAGCCGTCTTTAAAACGGAAGCAGTCACGCCTGCCTGCAGCCCGGGGGAGGCATAGACGCTAAGCCAGAGCAGCTGCAGGGGCAGCCCATGCAGAGGGGTTCTGAGCGGTTAGTCCCTCCGGTGGAGAAGAATGGTGTCCGTGAAACTGCGTCACTGTCCCCACCTCGATCTTGCCTTGAGATAGTCCCATCGGGCAATGCGGCCTGGAGGGAACAGCCTTCAGGATCCGTGTCCTCCCTCGCCCCTGCCCTCACCCCACCGCCCCCTTCCTGTCGTGTCCTGTCTCCAGCCCCCAGGTACACCCTGGTCCCAAACCTTGATGGGCAGGAGAGTCGCCTCAGACCTTGTGAAAAGTTGACATCCTGAGCCCCTCCCCCTCGGGGTTCTAATCCACTCAGGGTGCGCCTAGCAAAATGCCCAATATTCTGAGGGTGCACCTAGCACTTTGAACAAATGCCCAATATTTTGATGCCTCGGGTCCATGGACCCTCAGAGGAAGCCGGCTCTAGTGCGGGAACCCAGGGCTTGCGGTCGGAAAGCCCAGGTTTGCCTCCACAGCTCTGTCTCCGCACCCCGAAGGCCCTCGGGTAAGTCACCAGAGCTCCCCAGGGCTCAGGTTCGACCTCAACCCCCAGGGTTTGGGGCAAGGATCCAGCGGGGTAGGAGGCGAAGCGCTTTGCAAACCGCGGAGCTCTGCAGACGTTGACCTCGGTGATCCGCCCGGCGGGTATTAAAGACCCTCGGGGTCGATCCTTTTGGTGCCCCCGAACCAGCTGTCACAAAGATGTCATTCTCCCCCTCCGCACCAGCCTTCAACGCGGCCAAGTGTGAGAAACTACAAAAGGAGAAGGAGGACCTGGAGTGGAGGTTTGAGGAGCAGGTGCGCGAGCTGGGCTGGCGGCAGCAGGCGGAGCTCCAGGACCTGGAGGAGAGGCTGCAGGTGCAGTTCCAGGCGGAGGCGATGCGCCTGCAGGAGGGGCACCACGCCCAGCTGCTGCGGATCAAGTGTCAGCACCAGGAGCAGGTCAGTGTCTCGGGCTCGGGGCTGTGGCTGTGCTGTTGGGACCCGCAGGTGGAAGGTGGAGGGGAGCCAGCGCTGCCCCCCGCGAGAAGTCCGCTCCGTAGGTGAGCTTTCCTGCGCGGTTCACCCTCCGACCTCGTTTCGTCCTGCCGTCCTCTCTCTCCCTCTCCTCCAGCTGCCCTGGCCTCCCTCTCCCTTCTTCTCAGGCGGGCTCCCCCCCTCCGGGCGCTGGCGCACTTGCTGTGCCCTCTGCCTGGAATGGTCTCCCTCTGGACCTTCCGTGGCTCCCTCTTTCCGTCTCAGCCAGCTTTTCCTCCCGTCGCTTTCTCAGTGAGGCCTTGCCTTGTCTAAAATTGCAGCCCCTTCCCACCCCCCCCCACCTACACACTCTTCGTGTCCCCTCCTTGCTCTAGGGTTCCCTCAGCGCTTATCACTGTTGAACATACTAATTTTCCTTGGGTCTTCTCTTTCTCATCTGTGTATTCTGCGAGGGCAGCGATAATCACAAGCAGAGGCATGTCTAGCCCTCGTGAGGCTCCAGGGACTGCTCTTAACTCTCTACCTCTACTAACTCATTTAGTCCTCACACCAGCCCTCCGAGGTGGGTACCATTATTGTCCCCATCTTATAGGTGAGAAAACCGAGACCCAGAGGTCACAGTGCTGGTCACGGAAAAGCCAGGGTGGAACCCAGTCTGGCTCCAGAGTGCGTGCTCTCCAGCGCGAAATTAGAACTGTCTTCCAGGCTTCTTAGGCAGCGGTAGATGTCTGCCTGACCGTGCCTGCCCTCCGCGCACCTGCTGAATGAAGGCATGAATCCCGCTGGTTAACCTCAGCCCAGCAGTCTTATCAGAGAGGGCAGTGCATCCCGGAGCAACTAGAGAGGATTCCCAGGGTTGTGCTGCCCCCCATCCCAGCCATTGCCCTCCCCTCCCTGCTCCCAGGACTGCCTTTCATGCAAGGAGACAGGGGCCCGCTGTACTTCTGGGAGCACCTGCACAGCCCCATTCTTTGCCCTTCTTTCCAAGTCCCCAAGGCTCTGATGCCCCAATGCCCACCTTCTCACGGGTGTGTTATTTCACGTAGTCTGCTTGTGACATCCCGAAAGTAAACTGGCATTTGTGAAGAGCGCCCTTTCAATCTCGGGCGAGCGCTGAGTGGCCCTCCATTATTGCGAATGTTCATGATCATGAACATTCAGGCTGCCCTCCTCGGACTGCTTCCAAATAAACATCCTGGATGGTGGTGGTCCCCAGGGGCTTGGGGACTCAGGAGGCACCAGGCCCAAGTCAGAGTAATGATAAGTACTGTTGTTGTCCTTTAGACTCTCCTCTTGGACAGCACTTTATTCAGCTTCTCAGGTTAGCATTCTCCTTTTCTGGAGGCCTGTGGAAATTGGACACACCTGCCTGCTTGCGGTGCTGTAGACCTTGAGATCAGGAAACAGAATAGCTTACAGCTAGAGTTACCCTGCTGCTGCTAAGATTAGAAACTGAGCCCCAGCGTCTTTCCTCCTAAGCTTGCAGAGCAGAGCTCCTGTGAGTCGACGTTTGCACCTGCTGTAGCCTTACCGATCTCCTGGCCCCTCAATACGTCTCAAACGTGTGCAGATATCAACTAGTTCTGTGCCTCTGTGTGGGCTGTTCATTCCCACTTTTATGCAGAGTGCCTTTGCCTCCATATCCACTAAAAGACTTCTGGTCTGAAGATCTGTGGTCACCAGCAGGAGAAGGTGCTTGGAGGGAGCCCTCTGAGCAAAAGCTCCTGTTGGGGTGTGGTGAATGGAAACCACGGAGCACAAGCCACAGCCTAGCGGGCCCGTCCACCAGCAGGGCGCCACCTGGGGCCTCACTCGAGTGTCACTGGTGCAGAGACCCATGCCGGGAGATGTGCTCTCGCCTGGCCTCTAAGCTGGGACATAGCAGCCTTGTAGAGATTTTATGCTGGGAATTACTGGAAAGAAAGAAAGGCCCTGACTTTCCCACTTGAGGACGAGTTACGTAAGCTACCTATGTGTATTTAAGAAGTGCTCTGTCTTATGAAGGCTTCTGTCCTTGATCCTTCAAAATAAATAGCTAGTGTTTCATTTATTTATTCATCTAGGCAGAGGATATTTAGCGAATGCCACGGTCCGCAAGGCATTATGGCAGGCCACTGTGAGAGATGGCAAGATGTGGAAGGTGTGGATTTACTCCCTCAGGTTACAGATCAGGAAAGTTCCCACACAAGTGCCCGAGAAGCTGTAATACCGGGTGAGAAATACGGAGGATGTGTTGAGGAATTTAGATTACTTCCAGCTGTGAAGATAAGGGAACGCTTTATGGTGGAAATAGCGTCTCGAGACTTCCTATGTGAGCAAACCCTGCCTATGAAATTCCACTGGTGGGGGGTGGGGCGGGATGGGTGGTGATTTAAATCTGTGAATGATTCGGGTCCCCGATTCTGCTGCTGCATATCCCTTCCCCAGCAGAGAGCAATGCAGGCGGTGAGGAAGAAGGCGAAACGCGCCTCAGTCCAGTGATTCCAATTTCCGGACAGAAAAAACGCTCATGTGTTCAGGGCAGGGTGAGAGTCAAGTGTATGAGTGCGACGGAGATTTGGATGGTCCACTCCCCGCGTCAGTTACCCGTGCGGGAATCTCCGCGCTCTGTGGGTCTTCCTTATCAGGGACGATTGCATTTGGCAGGGCTATCTCCACAGGTAGCGGCATCTCTGGGCTTCTGGAACCTTCAAAATCAAGCTAGCCCATCTGCCTTCTCCTCATGCCCCCGTGCCCCACGGCGGGCAGGGAGGAGGCGGCGTCAGCTTTGACGTGTGGGATTTTCAGAGGCTTTACTCAGGTCGGGAACTCACTGTTAAGGCAGGCCGACCTCTCAGTTCACCGCAGGGTCTCCCGTAGGACACATCCAGCCCTTCTGTCAACTAGAGGGGCAAAGACTGTCCCTGCCTACACATGGGAATGACTTGGGACGACTTGGGACAAAACACACCTCATCGTCCTTGGCCCACGTGAACTGAATCAGAATTGCTGAGTGGGTCCTGCCACGGGGTGGTTTGTGAAGGCTTCCCGGGGCCCAGCACCGCAGGTGTCCTGGGACGTGCAGGGCCCTGTCCTGCGGTCTCTGCTTCGGGGCACGAGCAGGGGGCATGGCCTTACCCCTTGGCTTTCTTCTGTGACTTCAAGACACGGCACGACTTTTACTTTTCACGTGGGACTAAAAGGTGTTTCATTAACATCACCTCTCATTCTGTTATGTGTGGCCAGCTACACATTAACAGAAGCCAGCTTGCCACAGCTTTCCAGAAGCACACAAAACCGATTTTCACTGTAAACACACGTGTTTTTCCCTTTCCGCCCCAGACGTAGTTCCTTCTTTGCCCAGCTTGCAGCCGTCCTCTCTGGGCTGCCTGTGGCTGTCACCCAAGGATACTTCGCCACACAGTCCGGTGTTCAGGGATCGGATTTGTGACCTTTGACCCCCTTGCTCCAAGACCCTTTGGCTGTCTTACTCCCTGACCCAGCCCGGAAGTCTCGAGTCCGGGGCCGCTGGCTCCTACCTGCGTTATGGGTTGCGCTCCACAAAGGGGGAGCAGAGCCCTCCTTGAGGAGCAGTGGTGCTCACCCTTTGGAGTTTCCGCCCGCTCTGTCTCGTGTCCAGGACATGCCTTCTGCCCTTTCCCGAAGAAATCATCCTCATAGGCTTGCTGGCAGGCTCAGCGTCCCCCACGCTTAATCAGAACGTACAGAGGCCGCTTTGTCCATCATCTTGCATTATGTCTCTTTGGTCCTGCTCGGCAGGCATTCAACTCCCATCAGCGGAAAGTACACTCTCCCTAATCAGACAGAATGAGGTCCCTGGGGGCCCTCTGTCTTCCAGCACCAGAGCCCCCACACACCAGGGGTGGGTGGCGGAACCGGGAAGATAGGGGCTTCTGTGAACAGGTGCCCACGTGCTGAGCTGCAGAGGGACAGAGGCACACCCGTGAACGTGAGGCTGCCCTGAGTCGATGCCCAGGACACTGTGGCAGCGATGGAAGGGAAGGGAAGGAGGGGGCCCCTCGTTACCTAGGGAGGAACATTAAGAGAGCCCTGGAGAACAGTAAACATGGCGTTTCTGCATGACGGCGACTGTTGGACGGACACGATGACAGACGCCCCTGTGGCACAGCCCTCAGCCCCCTCTCCCTGGAGAAGGGAGGAGGGCGGTCCAGCAGCGGTTCAAGGGGGCCCTACCCCGGGGTTCTAAAAGGAGAAGAAGGATGCCTCACCCAGCCCAAGTGTGCCGTGGGCTGTCTAGTTTAGCGCCTTTTGCCTCTGACTGGGCGGCCGGTGCATAAAAGGAGCTTGCGTTTCCCTCGGTTCAGCTGGGCTGAACCTGCTCACGTGCCTTGAGAAGTTCTCGCATCTTCTCAGGCTGAGAGCCCTTATTGGCTCCTTGGGACCGTGAGCCCGTGCTCCAGAAGGCAGCCAGCAGCCGTGGGAAATGTCACGGGGATTAATATGACAAAAGGGAGGATGCCAAAAGCAGGCAGCCCCTTCCTCGTATTCTTCAAAACCCAAAAAGACACACAGAAACCCAAATTACTGAAGAGTAAGGATTACTGTGCCCACATTTGGGCTCAGTGGCTCTCCTTGGGTTCTTTCAAGACCTACTGGGCTTTCCTCTCATTGCATATGGGCTTTCAGAGTTAGGGACTTACTAATTCATTCATAAAAGCACCTCTGAGGGGCCGTAGCAGTTAGATCATGCCCTTCCACCGTTCCTAACATGTTGGGGGCAGTGTTTTATCACCACTAAGTCAAAGACCTGCCTTCCACCTGACCAGAGGGCCACGTATCTGGCCACAAACATAATGTAGCATTGCCAGTCAGGGCACATCCCCCTCCAGGGATGCATGGGACTCTTCTGGAACTCAGCCCTTCCATCCATCTCTCTTTCCTGAAACCACCCATGGCAGTTTCTGGAAGAGCCCGATACATTTGAACCATACCAAGGTCTGATGAAAGATTTTTCTTTATACCGAAGCGGGTCACATCACTCCAAATAATGTGTGGGTGCTTGTTTCTACAGTGTGCCATGGGCTTCACTGACATCAGTAATAAAGCAGAAAGAAAAGATATTTCCATTTGTTTTTTAAAGTCAGGGATTTATTTCTCCAAGAGACTAAAAGGCTTTGGACAATGATGCCATAAAAACCTCATATAAACAGGAATCGGACAACTAAACACTGTGGTAGTCAGCCTTTCTGCTGATTGGCTTCAGAGCTCTGAGCCTTAAGGAAAATATCGTTTAACCAAGAATGGCCAGTAAATAAAAGAATCGTTGCACACCATGTCCGTTTTCCTATGATAAGGCAGCTTTCCTCACACAGCGGAGTTCACTGTTGGTTTTGCCAGAGATATTTCTTTTCTAGCGGATGAAGTTTTCATTTTCCGCAGGAGAGAGAAGTCAGGCAAATTCTCCTATGCGATTATCGTATCCAGAACAGGAATCGGTCCCATTTAAAACGAAAAATACTCCAATGCCTCCACTTCACGAGTGGGCTTCCTTTCTTGTGCAGAACCCTTCCTCCCTTCAGATCAGAGGTCGGCTTGTGAATTATCCGCAGACACATGAGGGACCTAGAGTCCCCTCTTAGCGGGTGGCTGACTATGACTGGCTAGAAGCAACATATTCACAACTGGTCCACCGAAGAGCTTTAGGACCCGGGCCCATTTCCCGGTCCAGTGTTTTTCAAATGCCAGGTTTTGACACAGTAGGTTGTGAAATGAATTTAGTGGTTTGTAACTGGCATTTTGGAACACAAAGTAAGGCAGAAATGTTAAAGCCAGATTATTGCAAATAAGAAGAAAAGGTGCTGTTTTGTGGAACTTTGGTTTCGCGGGTGCACACGCCCCTGCGTGATGTAACACACTGTGGTGTTTTCTACCGGTGGGTCACGGACCAAGAATTTAGAAGAACGTTCTCCTGGTGTGCTACTAGGAGGAGAGGCGGGGTTTTTTTTTGCAATCGCTCCTGAAAGCCATGTATTTGAAGTTAAAGCAACAGCCACACCAATAACAAACACAGTAAACGTGTGGGGAGTGCTGGGTTGCAGCGATCGGGAAGGGTGAAAATAAAAATCCTGAACCAGCTGCACCACCTGTGATTACATTCTGGAAATGTGCCTTCAGCCAGAGAAACCGGAGCAGCTGCACATTGCCTGGGAGGTCCAGGTGGTAATCTGGAGGGCACGGTTACGGGGAAGCAGGTGCAGCGAGCACGCACAGATCTGCCGGCCTGCCTCGGTGCTGGTGACAGGATCGCGACGCATTCGCTGCAGTCTTGCTGGGGGAGGCAACACGGTGTGTTGGAGAGAGTTTCGCCTGTGGCGTCGGACAGACCTGTGCCGACTGCCGGCTCTGCCGTTTACGAGCCCTTGGCAAAACATTTCAAACCTCCCTAAGCCTCGGTCTCCTTGTCTGTTAAATGGGCATAAAAATACCTGGTTGGTGATGCTGCTGTGAGAGCCAAGTGCAGTAACCAATAGCAGGTGCGTTAATAGAGGTCAGTTCACTTAACGTACCTTGTGCCTTCACGCTCCCGCCTGTCACTGGGCAACAGAGACCAGAGCACCCAGTAGAGGACCCTCTTCTTTTCCTTAGGCACCATTACCTCATAGTGATTGGTGAAGGGGGAGGAATGGGAGGAGGAAGGGGATGGGCCGGAAGCCAGGCCCAGGGCAGTGAAGAGATGACTCGGGCAGCCGTCCCCCATGGGGAGCTGCCATCTTCCTGCGGACAGCCGGGCTGTGGCAGTGACTTCCCTGTGACCTCCCCCGATTCCGGGGCTGCCACGTCATCAACAGACCCTGGCTCTCCTGCCTCGGCACAAGGCCGAGATAGCCGTCATCTCGGCAGAATGACCTGTCCTTGGCGTTTCGGGCCACGGACCTTTCTAGTTGGGATTCCACCTCTGTCCTCCAGGCAGCAAGGACACTGCTGCCACCCCTCCCCCCACTCTGTGTGTAACCATAGCTGTGGCCTCCTTCAGGTAGAAGACATCACGGCCAGCCATGAGGCTGCTGTCCTGGAGATGGAGAATAACCACACGGTAGCCATCGCGATCCTGCAGGACGACCACCACCACAAGGTCCAAGGTAGCTACCGGCCGCCATATGTGCGGCCCTTCGGGGTGGGTCGTGTGAGCCCAACCTCTCCTGCCATCCTTCTTCTCGTGCTCCTCTTCCCATTTTCCCTTCCTTTCCTTCCGGTCTGTCTTCCGTGTCGCTTCCTGTGGCAAGAAGAGCTAGAAATCCAGGATCCATCCAGGTAACCACTTCTTTCCTCAGAAGCAGCCCCCCTCAGCCCTGCCTGGATACGAGAACCCTAGGGAGCCATCCCAGGGGCTCACGCCCAGCCCGGGTCCCAGCTGGGGCTCCTCGGTGGCTGTTCTGGGGTGCTGCTGCTGGCTGTCGCGATTGCTCAGAGCTCCTGAGATGGTTCTGATGGGGTCTCGAATCTTGAGAAGCACTATTCCCAAGTACGCCTGGAAATCCTGGGCTTTACCTTGTCTCGTCGCCTCTCAACACAAAATGGCAAGCCGGTGTAGGTCCGTGCACTTGCCCACACTTGTGGTGTGCTCAAGGGCCACAGCAGCGCCCCTCTGGATCTGCGTCTCCACACCTCATAGCCACGCACCGTATGCCCCGTGGGCTAAACAGAGTTCCAGACGGTGGGATTTCTTTCTACATTTTTGTAAATTGAATGATCTTTCAAAACGTAGAGGTTTTTGTGGGTCGTAACAACAGTAACAACATTTACTAATTACTATCAGGATTTTGACTTTGCCAAAGAACCTTTTTTTTGACGTGCGTGTACATTAATATTTACAACTTCTTTTTCGATTTCAACCCCCTCCCTTTTTTTCTCCTAGTCCGCTGACTGTGAAAAGTGTATTAAAAACAATGAAATGTAATACATAGGTTAATAAATTTTAAGAATTTGAAAGTTAAACATTAGAGTTTAAACTTTTTTTAATTTTTAAAAAAATATTCATTTATTTTGAGGGAGAGAGGGAGAGAGAGAGAGAGAGAGAGCGAGCAAGTGGGGGAGGGGTGGGGGGAGAAGGAGAGAGAGAATCCCAAGCAGGCTCTACGCTGTCAGCATGGAACCCCACGTGGGGCCCAATCTCATGAACCATGAGATCGTGACCTGAGCCAAAATCAAGAGTTGGATGCTTAACGGACTGAGCCACCCAGGCGCCCCTTAAAATTATTTAAGGCTATTTGGTTGCCTTTTGTTTCTGTATTTGCATAAAAAATAGACCTGGTAGGGGCGCCTGGGTGGCGCAGTCGGTTAAGCGCCCGACTTCAGCCAGGTCACGATCTCGCAGTCCGTGAGTTCGAGCCCCGCGTCGGGCTCTGGGCTGATGGCTCGGAGCCTGGAGCCTGTTTCCGATTCTGTGTCTCCCTCTCTCTCTGCCCCTCCCCCGTTCATGCTCTGTCTCTCTCTGTCCCAAAAATAAAATAAAAAACGTTGAAAAAAAAATTAAAAAAAAAAAAATAGACCTGGTAGATTTTTGTGATGAATGAAATCTCACTTAGACACCATATCCAAGACCTTTGAATTATGTATAAATGTGGAGGCAATGTAAATGTATTTAATGATAGCCAAAAATCTATGACTATCGTCAGGATGATACTTTCAATGACTGTTAAAACTAATCATGTAGACAGAGCCAGGTAGACCAGAAGGCTACATGGCTTTATATCAATGAAATCAGCACAGGCTTTCCCCCCCCCCCAAATGCAAATCTCAGCTATAAACAACTGGATTTCTTAGAGACTTTCGCCATCCTTACTTAAAAGATGTGGGTCAATGGAAACCACAAAGTCTTTCCTAATTGCAGCTCATGCCAGCCCGAATGATAATTGCTGGCCTCCAGTGCTCTCCTGTTCTGAGCATGTGATCCTGGCTGATTAATGAGACCTTTCCTCACTGCAGTTATAACATGAAAACAAATTGCTTGTGTAGCCAGAATGAGATGTGCTTCACCCAGCTAATAAGATTCTTTCCATCCGGAGGAAAATAGAATCCATTCGCTTAATAACTCTCACATGACATCTCTTTCTGCCTAACTTGCAAATTATTACCAGAATGACACTTTTCACGGGACAGAATTGTTCCATACTGTCTGACCGGAACCAGTCCAATTAGTCCTTCCTTCCGTCTGAGCTTCTTAATGTTGAATCTTTGCTCAAGCAAATCCTAGAGATCAGTGGTTTCCAGAGTATGGCCCAGGAAAGCTTGGAGAATCAATGGGTACTGTGCGTGGAGAATCCAACTTGGCCAGGGTGGTGGTAAAGCAGGCTGTAGGAATCGTGTGTGTGTGTGTGTGTGTGTGTGAGTGTGTGTGTTTCGTGCGCACGTGCGTTTATGGTGCGTGCGCGCGCGCACGTGTATGGGGACGTGTGTTCACGAGCACGACTGTGCTGTTTGCTTCCCTCGCTCGTTTCTTTGCTCTTTCCCTCTTTGTCTTTCTTTGTCCTATTCCCCTGTTCCTTCTTTCACTGTCTTCTAAATGGGATTGCATATCGTTTCAAAATAATGGAGAAGTCTGTTTAGGCTTCAGCCTGCTATATACCAGTGTCCCTTATTTACCTGAGTCTGTCGGAGTCTTGTTTGATCTTTTTCAAGAGACCACATTAACTGTTCGACCTCTTCTCTCCAGAACTGATGTCTACCCATGAGCTTGAAAAGAAAGAATTGGAAGAAAATTTTGAAAAGCTGCGGCTGTCGTTACAGGTTAATATTCATTCTCTTAAAGGTGCATTTGTTCTTAAAGTTTATTTGTTTTGAGAGAGAGAGTGTGAGGGAGTAAGGGGAGGGACAGAGAGAGAGAGAGAGAGAGAGAATCCCAAACAGGCTCCACGCTGTCAGCGCAGATCTCATGAACCGTGAGATCATGACGTGAGCCGAAGTCAAGAGTCGGACCCTTAACCAGCTGAGCCACCCGGGTGCCCCAGTATTCATTCTCTTCACTCTGGTCTCAAGATGATGGCGGTGTCATTATGCCTGTCCACAGACATTTATCTAGCACCTACTGTGTACAGGATCCTGTGCTAAGCATCGGGATGTAGAAGTAAATGAGACATATGCCCTGCCCTTTGGGAAGTCACTGTCCACTCAGACAGCTGTGACCCGAACAGTGACAGACAACACAAAAGGTAAATACTTACACCCAGGGAATACTACCATTAGTGAGCGCCACAGAAGTTCTGAGATGACGGTCCCCACTTGCCATGGTCTGACCTGAGCTGTGTCTGAGGAGAAGGGAGTGCTTTGAGGAGGGTATTCTAGGCAGCGGGAATGGGGTAACGGTATCCCGTTGTGAAGGATAGATGTCATAGGACATGTTCTGGGAATTATCGAAGGGACTTTAATCACCTGGAAGTGGGTGAGATGAAAAGAACCTTCTTTGCCTTCCACCACCAACCTGCAGAAAATGTGGGTCTCCGAGGCCGGGGAGCCGCCTGGCTTCCTGCTGACCTCTGCGGGGAGAATGAAGCGTCTCCCAGACTACGTGCATCTCCCTCCTGCCTTCTAGAGACCCAGGCCACCCCCAGCCCTAAGGCAGAGCTGCCTGGGAAGCAGGGGTGAGGTCGGCGGCCCTGCTTCCCTTCCCAACCATCACAACCAGATTATTTGTTAAATGTTCGGGACACTCACGTGGGGAAATTGTGGGAGGTGATTACCAAAACCGCAACACAAAGGCGGGGATTTTGCTTCTTTGATGGCGCGCTTTCCCCTGGCAATGTTCATTGACCACAGCCTGCCCCCCAAGAAGAGCATCCAGGATTGTGCAGATAGCCAGTCTCACAACTACTGAGCATTCTGTTCAGAAGTTAAAATGGGAAACCGCCTGCTGCAGGCCGACCTCCGACTCATCGATCCATCGATGGTCATCTGCGCGGTCATCACGCGGCTTATCCTCGGCACGTGAACCCCACACTGCCTTCGGGTACCCCGCATCCCACACCATCAGGTGCACGCCCCCTAAGGTGCACAAACCAGGACCATACTGTGATGTAACAAAAACCCCATCCGGTCCACAACCAAAAAGAATTGAGAGTTTAGTTTCATATGTGGGTCCTCACGCTGCTGCTGACATTAAACCGTCGTGAATTGTGCGTATTTTACTTGTGATTCTCCATGGGCAGATTTCATTTGGGCTGGAGATTATTTGGTGCAAAGAGGATGGAATTGTCGAGCCCCCCCTTTTTGGGCTACTGGTGGCTAGAGAAACAGGTCTGGGGCAAGAGATTGGAGCTTTCAGTTTAAATCCCCACTGTACCCCCTCTTACTAGCTTTGAAATTGTGGACAGTTACATAAGCTCTGTAGACCTTACTTTCCTCATCTGTAAAATGGGGATGATAACGAGACCTCCCCCAAGGTGTGAGCAGATTAAGGGAAATGATGTATGTCTAACATGAGGGGGGTTCAAGGTAAATGCTAAGAAGTAGCAGCTATTAGGGGCGCCCGGGTGGCTCAGTCAGTTGAGTGTCTGACTTCGGCTCAGGTCACGATCTCACAGTTTGTGAGTTCGAGTCCCGCGTCGGGCTCTGTGCCGACAGCTCGGAGCCTGGAGCCTGCTTCCCATTCTGTGTCTCCCTCTCCTTCTCGTGCTCTGTCTCTCAAAAATAAATAAGCGTTAAAAAAAATAAAAAACAAAAACAATAGTGGCTATTGCTATTATAATAGTTTAAAGCATTGCCGCATTTACTGTTATTATTATCACGCCATTGGTTAACTCCTGAGTGGCCCGTGCTGGGCCAGGTCACCAGCTGGGCCTTTCTGCTTCTTAGCTGGACAAAAAGGAGCGAACCCAAGTTGAAAGATAGTCCGTTCTGTCTGATTGCTGTGGCACCGTTGTGTGCCTGGCGGTCTGTTTGGAGTAATGGTGAAGAAGGCAGAAAATACACAGTTTGACATTTTAGATCTATCCTAGGTGGCGTTTGCCTGATGCGTCTTTTCACGGTTTTGTTTTTTTAACGGACGGGGAGAGACTTGAAAGAAATGCTTCCTCCGACAGCACGGCCGGGTTTGGGATAGGAGCCACGTAGCGGTACATTTTTAGAGTCAGGTTCTAGAAGGTGACCGGGCTGCCCGATGGCTGTGTGCCAGGGCCCAGCCGGGTTTGCCCGGGGCTGTGATCTCCACTCACCAGCTCCTGTGGGTACAGACTCCCACTGATAACTATATTGCTCGAATGTACCAGCATTTGCATTTAATGGCACTGTGGGGGCTTTTATGCCTTAAAAATGAAATTGGAAATAACTGGAAACCAAAAAAAAAAAAAAAAAAAAAACCCAAAAAAGAGGAAAAGGAAGCCACCAAAGATAGCTTGTAAAACAGGGTCCTCTGGCGAAATGAAGAAAGCAGTCAAGCCAGCGTTTCATACGTTACGGTATTTTCATGTGGAATTACATCATTTACAATACCTGGCTCTTCGTATCAGTGGGGTGAGGTCACTTCTCATGCTGGCAGAGTTCCTGGGGAGACCCTAGTCCCTGTGTTTTAATGTTACAGAAGTGGCGTCACTGGGCAGAGTATCTTGGGACACGCTGCGTGGACGAGGCCCCGTCGCTGGCTGCGCTGGGGCACCGCGAGAAAGCCCACTGCCCTGCACCCTTCGCTCGCCTGCCGTGCTCAGGCTGGGGTTGCAAGCGAGGTTGCGTGTAGTCGCATCTGCCCCGACAGCCGCGGGCCGGGAGCCTGGGTCCAGCCAGGGAGAGGCTCTCCACAGGGGAAAAGACTCCGCCCACACAGCAGCCCACGCCAGGGACGTGCAATCCGGCCCTGAGGCCCGGGAAGGCCAAGGGGAGGAGGCCAGAAGCGAGCAGAGCAGGAGAGGGGGCTGGCCAGTGGAGGCACCGCTGGCGGGAGAGCTGGAAGGAAAGGCGGGGCTGGAGGGGGCGGGGAGATCTGAGCGAGCCGGGAGACAAGAGAGGCCGTTCGGAAGACGCACGGACACTGTGTAAAGTCCGTGCTTCATCTTGATGCCAGTGGGGTTTTATACGGAGGGGGTGACGGGGTCGGGTTTGCGCTTTCGAAGCCTCCCCCTGACTCCACCTTGAGGGCAGAAGGGTCCTACCCAGACGCCAGGTGCAGGAAAGGGCCAAGCGCGTGGCTGAACTTCAGGGAGAGGGACCAGGAGAGCTTGCGGACCCCAGGAACATCACGTGGGTGGGATTGGCGGGACTCGAGCCTTGACCCCGAAATTAGTGCGTTTGGTGGTGGGAGGAGGGGTCTCAGGCAGACGGGGAAGGTCAAGGATGGTTCAATGGTGTAGAAACGAGGGCAGCTCTCCGTTGAGGTAGGTATCTTGTTCTTCCTAAAGTCAGGGACTAGATGCCTCCCTCTGGTGGTAGTTTGCCTCTGTGATACTAAATCAGATCATTGAATCAGATATTAAGTAATAATTAATAACAGTTCAATAATGAATTCAGATATTAGATCACGAAATGCCTCCCGCCAACAGGCTCCTTATTTGGGGACGAGGGGCAGCACTCTCATCTTGGGAGGTGCTCGGAGTCAGGCTGCCGGCCCCCAAGTTCCCCCCCGGGGTCGGGACCCTTCATGCGCAGCACGGGTGCCACGTGACCCCCTCTTACCACGTGGGACAGGCAATCCAAGCGGCCTCCACCTTGCGGCCCGGCAGGGTGGCCGTTGCCTCCCGGCTTCCCCGGGCCGCAGTGCCTGCGGCGGACCAAGCTGGCCTTCTTGTCATGCCTTGCAGGACCAGGTACACATGCTGACCTTCCAGAGCCAGTCTCTGCGGGACCGGGCCAGACGCTTTGAGGAGGCCCTGAGGAAGAACACCGAAGAGCAGCTGGAGGTAGTCATACCCTCCCCCGTCCCCCCGCCGACCCGGCCTTGTG